AAATACTAGGATGTGTATCCAATTGAAGACAAACATGTATGATTTGACACCAGCCATAAAACAACTTCTTAACTCTTGACAAATAAAGTCTTCTTTGTTCCTCCTCTTGGACCTTTGCTCATCATAAGCATCCTCACCACCTGCTTCAGCCATCTCAATTTCTGCTCAATTAACCTACTTCTCAAACCACTTCCAGTGTTTAGATACAAACAAGAATGCTTTTCCTGCATACATTCTGGATCCAAGCAGTAGCACCTTGCTGAGAGGAGTCTGGAAGCTTGATTGTAGACACACTCACATGGGGCTAAAGTGGGTTGCACAGGAAGATAGATTCTGGCCAGCCTTGCAAGAATATGATAACTTGCCTGGTGCATTTTCCACCACTGGAGTGGATCATTGTAATCTATCTTACTTTGAATTTTCTTGACTAAGGMCAAGCACTCAGAACACATGTAAAGATCAAGTTTCACATTTACTAGCATGATCAATATTGACGTCTGTACCATTGTTAAATTGAATGCAATTACTATCCTCTTCAGCTTTTGCCTCTTCTTCCTCCATCAGCCAAAACATGTTCATGTCAGAATCATCAACACCAGTATCAACACCAGTATCAACACCAGTATCTCCTTCTTCAACTTGTTCCATGATGTTATTAGTTGCCTCCACAGCAGCCATTCCTCAGCTACAACAAGTCTCTTGGACTCAGACTCTTTCANGGATCCAAGCAGTAGCACCTTGCTGAGAGGAGTCTGGAAGCTTGATTGTAGACACACTCACATGGGGCTAAAGTGGGTTGCACAGGAAGATAGATTCTGGCCAGCCTTGCAAGAATATGATAACTTGCCTGGTGCATTTTCCACCACTGGAGTGGATCATTGTAATCTATCTTACTTTGAATTTTCTTGACTAAGGCCAAGCACTCAGAACACATGTAAAGATCAAGTTTCACATTTACTAGCATGATCAATATTGATGTCTGCACCATTGTTAAATTGAATGCAATTACTATCCTCTTCAGCTTTTGCCTCTTCTTCCTCCATCAGCCAAAACATGTTCATGTCAGAATCATCAACACCAGTATCGACACCAGTATCTCCTTCTTCAACTTGTTCCATGATGTTATTAGTTGCCTCCACAGCAGCCATTCCTCAGCTACAACAAGTCTCTTGGACTCAGACTCTTTCATCAGTTCCATTACTTTACTGTGAATATCTTTTTTGCTAAATCTTTGATGTGAATTCCTTTTTTGCCATTATCATCTTCTCCAATGGATACCAAGCTTTTGGTTCTTAAATCAAGGAAGGTAGGAATTGTCAGAATTGGATGGATCCCCTCCTGTCTGTTTCTATTGCCACAAATTGATTTGAGTACTTGTTATACTTCATAAACTACAGCATTGTCATCTTTCCAAGACTTCATGAAAKTTCCAGCCAGTTTGCCTCTACTAGTAGTAGGATCACCATTTTCATCACATTTGTGGATTAGTGCCCCGTCAGATGTTTTTCACTGCTCCTGACAACACACTTGCAGCACTGACATACTACTTGTCTCCCTCAAGGGCTCTCTGTGTTATTTTCAATGGCTCCATTACAAGCATGTTTCATTCAGATATTTCCAGTCATCACCTGTAAGTTTCTCTACTTTTTCTATGGTTGACTCTAAGATAAATCAGACAGTCAATTGCATCATATCTTGACCACCATCTTGTCACAACATCATCCTCAATGCCAACATGTTGCTTTCTTTTAAAGGTTTCAACCTCTAATTCCTGACCCCCCCTTATGACTCTTCTGTTGCTTCCACACAATAATTAAAGTGGTCAATGTGTGCTTTTGCTTTTTTGTAGCTCTCAGCATGAAGAACTCGACCAAATTTTTCTCTGGGTCTTTGGTATAAGCCTGCTTGCAAATGTTATGCATTTCATGGTAAGCACAATCAATAAGGTGGTGAGTACCCTTGTCTTCCAACAGCATCCCAAGAGAGGAGTTAATGTTTGCAGTTGTGTCAGTTGTTACTGCTGTAAAAAAGTACCTCCCAAAGGTTTTGTTTCCAATGTACTGAATTGAAGAAAGTTGCTACACAGAAASTTCACAGTCATCTGATCTTGATATTTCTACATCTCCTCAACAGTTGTCTTGGATGTTTTTTTGTGATGGTAGTGTGCACCCTACCCACTGGGTCAAGCAGTACATTCTATTATTCAACAAATTTATATTATATGTATGTATATATATACTACACACACATTTTTCTTCCTAATCTTTTTGAGTGACGGGCCTGACACTGCATTTTGCACTATTGATAAGAGACAAGAATATGGGCAAAAATACTACTAATACTTGTATTTTGAGTGTACWGCAAGTACTATCTTTCCAGGAATATTAGTTAATAACAAAAAAATACGGGCCTATCTTGTAATGATAAGAGAAAATAAGAATGTATACCAGTATCTATAGCTGTCACATAAAAGTACTCACTTGACAGACTTATTGACCTCTAAGTGACTAGTACTACTAGTAGTTAATATTACTCTTGGAACACTGGTAAGAAACCAGTGGTGCACTTGAGGCTACTAGTAACAAAAGCACTGGTGATTCTTTGTTGGTAGCATCTGCGGTTGGTGATAGTGACATTAGTAGTATATAAGAGGAGGACCTTTGATGATCATGCATTGACAGGCACAAAAAGAGCAAGCTGGAGTTTTTTCCAATCCTCAGAGTATCAAGGAATCATGTGATTTGGAGCTGTTTGTTAGGTACATATCCCATCCCCAACATGCACCCTATGAGAGACACAAGGAGAGTGGCAAGACCAGCTGGCACTCCAACACTCTACAATAGTGGGGAAATAAAAAGCACAAATTTCCAACATTGGCTTTTCTAGCAAGGAAATATCTTGCTGTTCAAGCAACATCTGGTCCTTTTGTCGTGACATTGGAAATGATATTTAGTAGGGTGCACAGGATCATCAGTGATCTATACACCACTAAACTTGATCCTGATATTATAGGAAGGACTTTGTATGTAGCCGACAAAAAATTGGATTGGTGTGAGAAACAAATGGGCATGTCATTGAATAATTAGTGAGTACTTTAGTAGCAACATCATAGTGGTGGTATGGAACTTCTATCAAGTAATTATATCAATATTCCTAGTATAGTACTTCTACATTTTATTACAAAATTGATCACACAATGGTGCTGTGCAATGGTCAAGGATGAAAGGTGTTTTGGACTGTTGCACAACGTTTTTCAAATATTGTTGTATTGTGGATGCCTACTTCTTAGGGATGCTCCTGACAACCACCATTTGACAGCTGTCAATTGATAGTGCTGCAAGTAATATTTTCCTGTCCCTGAAACATGAATTTCTTCAATGGGCATATTAATATTTTTCCTACCAATTCAAAAATCAATCAAATTTGTCACAATGTCCTTGTACTACTTCTTGGATCTGCTTCTTGTTGTTGCATTACCATAGGCATCAATGATACTAGTACTGTTAGTATTATGTCATAGTAGTAGTACTACTAGTAGTAGTACAGCTCCTGATAGCATTCGATTGGTTCAGAGTGAATCAAACTTGACAGAGGGAAATCATAGTAGTAATATCAATTATTACCAGTACACCAAGTAGTTATTCTTCTTGAAGCATCAGTACTAGCTATCAACAACAAACTCACAACGTACGAGCAGAAGACGGAGCAACATGAATAAGGGAACTACTACGCAAAGTGTTCGACTGTAAACCACGAGATCGATGGTATCAACAGAATACTGCATGAACCTTCACGGGTTCAAGTTCAAGGCCGAATCGAATTGCCTTRCGGACGGCAACTACAATAGTGTTGCTCTAATCAGAAACTTTCAGACGCTTGAAGTCTTATCGGTTGGGTGCTCTCCTTCATCCATGCAAYAATTTTATGTGACGGAGCTACTCTATTCAAAACGTACGATACAAGTTCGACTACGTGGAAAGAGGTATGCCTGAGTTGTCTCTTGGAAAAACAGCAGGCAGGTGCAGATAGGGGGGTATTTTTATAATAGATCGTACTGTAAAAGTAGCAATCGATGAGGCACGGCAGATGAGGAAAACTGATAATTGCGTTTTTTAGAATTTCATCAGGTGCGGTTTGTCGTTGGGGTTCAAAGTGAATTGAGCGGCAAGGTATGCTTCCATCATATCAACGGATGCGACGGCCTTGAGAAGGGCAGCGTCGACCTTCTTTTGGTCTTCTTTGCGCTGGTCGCTTACAATGGCGGCCTTTGGTGCGTCTCCCATGAAAAATTCCTCTTCTCCTTCTGTGCTGGCGTCCTTGGATCTGGCAAAGTATTCATCGTTGATGGAGGAAACATCGACTCCCGAAACATCGACCTTCGACGAAGTAGCAATGACGTATGCTTGGTTTACACGACGAAGTGGAACTCCATTGATTTTGTAAGGTCCAGAAACAAGAATAAGACCGGATTCAAGGGCCTTCAAACAGACTACACGCTTTCCTCGGAATCGTCCTGCCAAGAGAATTAGTACGGTTCCGGGAGTGATAGATTTGCGAATTCTAGGAGGCTGAATAAATAWTTTATTTCGGTAGCACACATTTGTTCAGAAGGAAACAAWTAAAGAGAACGRATAAGCGTGAGGAAATCTTCAATGAACGCATCACGCCGAACGTTTGCTTGGTGCCACCACCACCTTCATTGGGGCAGAATTGAACGGCGCCCATACAACCAACAACACCATCKTCACCTCCATCATCGTCACTCCGCTAATCGCACTTACGTTCTGCTTTACCCTGTATGTGGGCTTGGAAGCAGGAAGATCCTCGGCAGGGTAGTAACGGGGGGTAGCAGTCATGGTCGAAGGTGTTTTCTACTCTAATTACACAATAGGTTCACTGCGGGATAGTCGTGTTGCAGATGAAGGATTTCCTAGAATAAWTTGAWGAGTTGATCAAGGCAAGACGGTGGCGATGCTAGTCTTTGTCAAGAAAGTAATATGGTAGGAGGTAAACTCCTCTGAAGATCTAAATTAGTACCAGTTAGTAACCTTAGCCTTATTCAGTAAAAAAGGATTGACTAAAAATAGTATTTCCAAAGAAAATTTCCGTTAGTGRTGCCCTTATTTTASTATGTATACAGTTTTGWATATCTCATARTTTGCATATAGCTTTTTCATTTATGCACTTTTATTTCTTATGAATGACGACACTAAGTATGAAAAAGGACGGCCGTGGTCGCAGCGAAAAAGCCCTTTCTTGTCGTAATACACAGRCTAGGTTTCTACTGGGTTTAAGAAAGAGAACGAAGTAATGCGTTGACTAGTGCTTGCGTGCACGCTCCCAAGATTTATCCATGATTTTAACGTACAGGCGTGAACTGAACCGAAATACAGTACAAACGAAGTTACATGGCCAGTAGTACACGTTAAAGCAAGAATAAATAACGCTAACGCAGCATTGTAAATGGAGTCTTCGCCCGAACAAGAGCATTCCATCACCTCTTTCTAGCAGGCAGACGACCATACCTACCGTGAAAGCTTTACCGCGTGACATTTGCTGTGACACATCGGACCCAATAYTTCGGTAACGTAGTGCACAAGAGAGCGAATGCACGGTACCTCCCTCTTGCAGTTGACCCAGGTACACTAGTACAACAACAAAACCGTATTTTACATAACTCACCTGCCCCTGCAACAGCAACACCCTGTCTCTTCGGATGCATAACGGTGGCGCTGGAGTCTGGCGGTGCATCCATTTTAAGGTCTACAACAACAAGAAATAAAACAAACGAAGAATCCCAACCACCGACACGCCCAAAAATGGTATCCAATACCRCCCCTCTGAGACGCCGACGTTCGGAAGGCGGATTCGCTTCCGGGAGAGGTGGTGGTAGCGCGGASGCTGCAGCCAATGCCCCGGGAATGGCGTCTTCGGCCTCTGTAAATTCGGACCGTGGCGATCCGACACTTTCGAGCTCWATTAACAACTCAGTAAATAAACTCAATGCGTCCAGCAGCRGCAGCGGCAACATAGATAACGACCCCGCTTCCACTTCGGGCAAGCCATGTCACGCAGCGCGCTTGACGTTATTGTGCTGCCAAAACGCRATCCGTATGGGAGCGCGAACGCAGCTCGCACTGTGYCCACCAGGTAGGGTACGAAAGGAACTCAAAGCTGCCCTGAGGAGTAAAGCTAGATCCAATAATAGTAATAACAAGCGCGGGTCGAATTCATCAACGTCAACACGCAGGAGTAGCTCTGGTCAATTCTTTGTTACTCCCGATGTCGGCGGATATTTTGGTGTGGACAAAATGGTTGGATCAGAAATACTTGAAAAAGTGTATCCTACACAGGGCGATTATTTAGTGAATTCTAATACTTTTGATGGAGAAAGCGACGAAGAGGCCAGCAGCGGTGACGATGACGATTTGATAGACCGCAAGCAGCTCGTGCTGGATTTCGATTGCTCACAGCTCCAGCACAATAGTCTGGAGGAAGAAAAAAAGTACGCAAATCTAGTCGAACCACTCTTTACTCCACTCGGGGATGAGTCGGTGATGACAAATTCCGTGAATGGACCTATGAGTGGTGGCGCTGGCAGTTTGGGTAAATTACCATTTAATCGAAGGAAAATSAGATACTTCGACTCAATAACTGCTCAAGACACAATGACTGTTCGGGCCTATCTCAATAAGGAAATGCAACGAAGCAAGAAACGGGAAGTTTTGTTGTTGGCGAAACATTTGAAACGTTCACAAAGGCTTCAACGAAGGCAACTGAAAGAGAAACGTGGAGATATCCCGCTTTCAAGTGCTGATGATTTAGATGCACCTGGCGACGATCATCAACTTGCCATTGCTAGTGTTTCTAAATTTGAACAGAATATGACTCCATCACTTGCTGCAGCGCTAGTGGTTGAGAGCTTAGAAATGAACAAACTTGAGAGTATTGAAGGAATGGCAAAGTGTTATGACGGCATTGTAGCTGCTGGAATTGCAATCCTGGAAATCAACAACGACCCTGGACCTTCCGATGATTCTTCTTCCAATAGCGGAGCCCATGGGAAAAGAGCACAAATCATGGGGGCGTTGACGCCTCTTTTGATATCATCATTGGAACAGCCTTCGGGTGATGTCATTCTTTCTCTTGCAAAATTACGACGAATGTGTGGAACMGCTCGTTACCAACGAAGATTTGTCCAGCGCGTGGCTCCTTCCTTAATAAGACCACCAAGAGGCGCAATGTGGTGCTTGAAACATCAAAATGACATGGAACCAATTCTTGCTGCTGCGGAGATGATATTCGACTCAGCATCTGATATTTTTTCGAAGGCTTGGTATGATCGTGGTCAGCTACTACTTGCAGATACTAAACGGGCAGAAACGCTTAATACTGTGGCAATGCAACTTAAAAATCTTAGTTCGCATCCAGACGATCATTTGACGTTGGACTTAGGCCATGGAAATAGCACTTGGAGATCCAACAAATACAAGAGCGGAAAAGATACATCGAAAGGTGCGAAAGAGCCACTTGCGGAATGGGAAGTAATTGAAGTGGACAGAAATATTCGGATATCAATATCCAATATTGTTTCTATGGACTGGTCACGCGTTGTCGTTTCCAAAGAAGCAGCCTTGTCGTCTGCATCTTTTCACCGTTCAAGACCTACGGGCAAACGACCGAGTGTTCTTCTACAAACAACAACAAGCGGTGATAKCAGCCCGAAAAATCATTCTCCGGCTCCAATGAGTCCACTSCGACCATCTCCGAAAACCCAACATTCCCTTCCTGTATTTGGTGGTGAAATGAACGACGTYGGTGGTTTGCATTCGTCGAATCACACTGCTAATTTAGATGCTCAACGCGAGCGAACTAAAAGTCCAATCCCTTCCGGTACCTCGAATCAAACAATACCGTTGTCTCCTCCCCATCCAAACAAAGAAACTGAAGTTCGCGTGCCATCGGATCAATTTGCATCATCAAATATTTTCACACCGTCTGAGCAAACGCCACCTCGATCACCAACTCCAAAGCAAAAAGATGGCCCTTCGGATATCGCATCAACAGGGGTTCATGCAAGCGTTCCATCATTACCCATGTCGCCGAAGCGGAACAAGAACGTTTCTTCAACCTCGAGTGGCAAGGAGTCGATTRCGAAATATTCCGATAACATTACTTCGTCATCCTCTCCTGTGCACCCTCAGTTTGGAGGGGAAAGGGAGCGCGCACCACTTTCTCCACCACCTGTTGGAGTTAGTAACACGTCTGACGCTTCATCGYATAGACCTATGTCTTCATCGTCTTCTGTGACATCTGGAATGACGCATATATCTGGAGTATCTGGATCTAGTTCTCAGCCTTCGCATTATCGCATGCTGACCTCCACTGCTGCGGAACGAAAACGAACTGTTGCTGCGTGCCGTGCCCTGAGAGCACAGATAACACGATTCGAAGATGCATTTATTCAGTTACATGGACGACCGCCGAAGGGTGCAGCAGAACGAGCTCCCCTTGCAACGACATACGCACAGTATAGAGAGTGGAAAAGGGCCATCCGTGCAGACGCTGCCTGTAGAATACAGGCACTCATTCGTGGTGCAATTACTCGATGGATGCTGCTGCGGAGCAATAACCCTAGAATGTCGAAGGTTGTTGTGAAAAGGGCTGGGAGACGGGGTTTCGCYCTGCAAGACGACACGGCTCGTGCTCAGACCTCAGTTCTTGACGAACTCAGTATTCCAGCCGAGATTGGTGATCGCAGACCGCGAACAGCTTTGCCTAACAGGGGTAATYCAGGTTTAGATGGAACAAATCACACTCTTGCACCGCAGTGGGGGGATCAAATTTACAGACCAGCAACTGGGAGCAATGATTTTGTGCCTAGTTCACCAATTCCTAGACCTGCTTCTTCTCCGGTATCGTCTTCCCACTCGAGAACTTCTAGCGATCTAGCTAGYATGTCGCTGGCTGAGCTTCAAGCGCAGAAGCGTGAGCTCAAACAGCAGCTAAAGCAATACGATATGAGTTTTGCGAGGCGACACGGTCGTATGCCGGTGAAAGCGGAAAAGGAGCCTATTCGCCATCTCTATGAAAGATACAACTCTCTTAAAGCTCTCATCAGTGAGATGGAACAAGAAGGAAGGAATTCCTCTTCGCCAACCGCATCACMAGTTTCTAGTAGCCCAATAGCAACACAGAGGGCCATCGTCTCGCCAGTGGGTTCAGATAGTGATGAATCAACYGGCAGAAGAAACAACATCTCACGCCGAAGTCAAACAAGTTCTGCGGCATCGGGTCAAGATCTGGCTACCCTGAAGGCCGAAAAAGGAAGACTTCATCAGATGCTTCGATCATTTGAAAGAGATTTCTTCCGAGAGCACCAGCGACAGGTTCAAAGCTTCGCAGACATTCGGCCTGTAGCGGCTCAGTATCGTCGATACAAAGAAATAAAGAGAGCTATTGCTGCTCTCCAAAGAGGAGAACGGTAGATTTATAATTAATGCCCAAACCAATAAGTCATTATTTTCCTAATCTCGTAGAAACTAGTGACAGTGGCTAGCAAGTAACATGTATTCAAGTGTTTTTTTTTCACGTAAAGGGTACGAACATATATGTAAATTCTGCGAATGCTATTTTGGAATTGGGAAAACAATTGTAAAATCTGATAGTAATTGATTAAAATAACACATGCTTCTATTCATATTTAGCTATTTCGGTCATACTAATCTGAGCTCAATTTAAGTATGAAGCGATTCGACCTTTTTAATAATTCATGTTGTATCGTGATAGAAAAGCCTTCACGTTGTTTGATGCTTCTATGGATGAGAAATTACACAATTTGTCTTCCATTTCATATTCTGTTTGCGAGTCTTTTACTCGAAACGCATTTGGTTTCTTCAAGCTTTCGCCATTCTCTCAGCGATCTTTTTCTCCATGAAATCGTGGACATGTTGCACGTCGTTGGGACATTCTGAAAGACGGGTAGGGAGATCGAGAAGACACGCAAGCTGTTCTGGTGGTGTCGGAAGGGGATCTATTGCCTGGTTCACAGCAGCTGGGAATTTTCCTTCGTGAGCAGTAGCCAGGCACACCATTGTCTCGACGACATCGTTCGTTTGATGTATGGCACTGACACCCACGGCAGTGTGCGGGCACATAACATAGTTGTGATTTTCATTGTATTCTCGAATAATATCTAAAGTCATGCTTGTATCGGCCCTGGCCGAGCTGAAGTCGCTTTGTGCCTTAGCGAGCAATTCCCCTTCAATTGTGAGTTTCTTCGTTTCCTCAAACGTTGTCATCCACTCCGCAAGTTTCGCGGAATCATTTCCGGCCAARAAGAAAAGGTATCGCTCAAAGTTACTAGAGACGCAAATATCCATGGAAGGTGAGATAGTCTTATTGATAGCTTCACGGTGGTACTCTCCTTTCGTAAAGAATCGATGAAGGATATCATTCTCGTTGGTGGCTACGATGAGTTTTCCAACGGGGAGACCAATTTGCTTGGCATAGAAACCTGCCAGAATATCTCCGAAGTTTCCTGTGGGAACAGAGTAGCCAACCTTAGCATCTTTATGTTCATCTTCGTCAGTAACTCTAAGATAACTCCAAAAGTAGTAAGTAATTTGCGCCAATACACGGCACCAGTTGATGGAGTTAACTGCTCCAAGCTTGACACGATCTCTAAATTCAGGCGAGTTGAAACTGGCCTTAACAATATCTTGGCAATCATCGAAAGTCCCTTCGATGGCAACACAGTGAATATTGTCATCCTGAACCGTAGTCATTTGGCGTTCCTGAATCGCGGAAACTCTACCTTTGGGAAAGAGAATAACGCAATCTACCCCCTTCTTCCCACGGAGACCATAGATAGCAGCGGAACCGGTGTCTCCGGATGTTGCGCCAAGAACAGCAAGTCGCCCATCATTGGACCCAGTCTCCAAAAAATACTCGAAGAAGTTACCGAGCATTTGAAGAGCCACGTCCTTGAAGGCAAAAGTGGGTCCATGGAAGAGTTCCTGCAACGAGAAAGTATCGCAGAGTCGCATCAGTAAGGGTCTCGTGTCTGCTTTTTCCGGCGATGCAGACCACTCAGATTTGTTCTTTAAATATTTTGCAACAAATTAGCTACTTACCAAAACTTTGTGTCCCGCTACATTTATAACGGGCGTTACTTCTTCGTGACGAAAGGCGGCGCAGGATCKCCTGACAATGTCCTCCAGTTTATCGGCGGGCACTTGATCTTCTTTAACAAATTTTGATATGACATTAACGGCTACGCTGGGGTAGTCAAGCCCTCTCCAACTCTCCAGTTCTTCTGCCTCGACGGTAGGAAAGGTGTCTGGAACAAAGAGTCCGCGATCGTGTGCCAGACCCGTCATGACGACTGTCCGGAAATCAAGATTGGATTGCCCTCCACGGGTAGATGAGTACGTAACAGATGCCATTTTCACTTTCTATTGCAATAAATTTTTCTATCTTCGTTTCCCTCGGTGTCGATGACTTCAATCCTATGATACGRMCAGAAATGCTTTGATTGAATGATAGKTGTACGGTAGAATTGAATCGTTTTGGTACGAGTAACTTCCCGTGTTTTGCGGAAGGGGGAAAATGCATGAAAAAACATTCTTTCTGTCATTATTTCCACCGATGTGTGTGGATGAAATCGTCTTGCTTACGTAGGCTCTTTCTTTGGGCACGTTTCGGTTTTCGGGCATGACGAATCAAAATAATCGTGACTGAAATGAATCTCATCCAATGAAAGAAGAATCTTTTCGGCTGCTCTCATGTTTTGGATAAGAAAAATAATTCCAATACTCGTATTCGAAGCTCGACGTACGTACGTATCGTACGTACGGTACCATACCAAATGAGATACGAAAGGGTATGTACCACAGGGGTCCCTGATGTACCATACGGTATCGTACGATACGTTTCGAAGAGCACAACATCTTACAGTACGTACGGTACCAGTTAGCGTACGTACATATTCAGTTTTCTTCTTACAGTAGTATTCATATTCATAAAATGTACAATTACGTACGAAGTACGAGTACGTACTAGCGGTACGTACGCGCCAGGGGTCAATCATTTATGACCCTTGCTACGAGGTACGTACGGTACGTACGAGTCCGCACGAGTCCGCACGAGTCCGCACGAGTCCGCACGAGTCCGCACGAGTCCGCACGAGCACGTACTCGTAACTCGTAATATTAGATATTAGAAAAGCGATTTTCTTTTAAAATACTTCGTAATAATACTGAAAGCATCGGGATCGAAGAACATCACAACATCACAATCGAAAAGATACGGCATCTCGTATCTACGGTTCTCTCAACCAAGCTCTAACTGTCTTTGCAACTTGCCAAAATTGTGATAGCGCCAACCTTTACAATGTCTTGCTGTTCTCATCGCTTCTGGAGCATTGCCATCGTAGCTATTGCAGCGATGGCTGCCTGTATGCCAATGCTYATGTCTGCTTTGCTAAAACATATGTTCACAGCACCCGGACAAGAACCATGGCCACACGGATCACTTCGTCTTATTAATTGCGGTGGTATTCCGGCACAGCCCTTGAACAGCGCAGAGCGCATCGAAGCATTACGAGCTGACTTTGTTCATAAGGACGAAGATGTTTGGATTGTCAGTTTCGTCAAATCTGGTACTACGTGGACGATMGGGATTCTTGCGGCACTGTATGATCATCCTGCTGCTGTCTATAGTGGAAATCTACAGAAGATGACACGGACCTTTTGCCCCCAGCCAGAGCTTCCAGATTTAGGATGGGGAGACGACGGCTTTGGCCATTCCATGGAAGAACTAAATTCATGGTCATCCAAACGTCGCTGTTTCAAATCGCATTGGCCAAGCCAAGACTTCGTRTTGCCAAATGGGAAATCTAAATTCATTTATGTGATGCGGAATGCTCAAGATCAAATGATATCGCATTGGAATCAGGTCTGGGGCATGGGTTTCCATTACGGCACCGCCAACATTTCGTTCGAAGATGGCTGGGATACATTTGTACAAGATTGGCTCGAGGGGAATGTTGAAAATGGAAAGTGGTTCGATCATGTGGCATCGTGGTATTCTCGTTCAAAARAAATCGATAGCGACGTCTTGCTAGTGCGATACGAGGACTTGAAAGAAAATACGGACGAAACAATCCGTAAAATATCCAACTTTGTCGATACCCCAATGAGCGATGACATCATGGCGCGAGTGAAGGACCTCACAAGTTTTGAGCGAATGAAAGAGGCAGATGAGAAAGACATCGGTTTAAAATTTATGCGCTGGCTTGGGGTGTTACGAAAGCATCATATTCGACAAGGAGAGACAGGCGCTGGTGAGCTGAAATTGTCCGAAGAGCAGAAGAAAATTCTCGAGGAACAGTACGAATCCAAGTTAAAACCATTGGGAATGCCGAGGGAGTGGGTACTATTTTTCTAAGATGCATGCATATCATTTTTCGCGAGTTCGTTTCTAATAGAGGAGAGTWTACGTATGATTGGTCGTCGTCCATTTCAGCACCAAGCCCTCTTCCTAGTTGCGACAATTTCCAAGAAAAGTGAAATGTGTCTAGTTTATTTGAATTTTTTTTTTCGATCGCATTTTATTTTCCCTCCTCAACATCGGAAMAAGAAAWGATTCTATGAAGAGCAAAGAGAATTTGGAAAGATTCTTTTCCGCGGAATCCAGAACAAAATAGTTATGGCTGAAACATCTTGGAGTTAGRGCAAGGTGGACTCAAATCTGTGCTCTAGCTTATAGAGCCACTATGGTGGTGCCATTACAACGTCTATCATTGTATTGAAGGTGAAAATGTTGGATTACACTTTGAATCGTAGCTTTAGGGGAATCAATTGTTGAGTCGATTCTTACACGCTGTCTTCTTCGAACATGTCAAAATCGTCATCGTCATCGTCATCATCTCCCAGTGACATCTCATCTTCCACATCGTTAAAATATTTGTCGAGAGTTTCACTAAGCATACTAGATACCTCGTTYAATTGACCATCTTCAAGCGCTTGTTGCATTTGTTGAGCAACAATCTCGTCTTCCCGCTCACTACCTTCCAAGCATTCGACAATTGCAAAATTGAGCTCATCCATTGTAGGTTCTTCGTCAAAGGTTGCAGCAACTTCAAAATCTGCGTTTGTGTTTGGCGACAAGTCAACGAAAATATGCCAGGGCCTTGGATATGCCCGAATCACCATAGCTCTTGTGACTCCTTCGTTGACTCCTGGTTCGTGAGCATGCTTCATCGCGCTTTCCAATGCGTCATCGTCACTKTCCTCACTTTCTGAGTCCTTTTCAACTTCCAGATCTTGAACTTCCGCAGTTTGTTGGCTTTCTAAATAGTCCCCTTCTGCGGAGATTCCTCCTTCTTCCAACTCAACACTGTCGTCGACTTTGGCATCTGCCATAAACTGGACAGCGAGTAATCTTAAATGGTATGCTGTTTCGAATTTGATCTCGACACCAGAGAATGGAACCATGTGATAGTTCAAAATGACAACTGGCTGCTGAATCGGCTGCAAACCTTCTTCTGATGGAGTAAGAAGATCCTGAATTGCCTGAATACCCTCTTCGTCGTCAGGCTCGGGAGCAACAATCACGACAAGTTTATCTCTCTTCTCAACTGGATCAAATCCTAAAGTACTCAATGCAACAACTTCTGGAGCTGCCAGTGCCATCGTCCGTCTATACTCAAGCAGCTGGGAAACTTTCGGAAAGACAATTTTTACTCTGTTTCGAGTACTTTTCAAGCCTTCCAATCCAGCCGCAATAGGAAGAATGGCAAGCTCGATAAATTGTACCAGAATTTCGGGATCATTGCTCAACTCAGCATCACGAACATCAACCAGCATACGTTGCTTTCCACCAAGCATTGCAGCAAGTATGGCGGCGCCAGCACCATCGGCGGCATCAATGACYGACGTCGGYGCGGTCCCAAAAATCAGAGCATCATCGTAAGATTCGATTACTTTTCCCAATGAAGCTTCGAGTTTATTGGTAGTACCATTACTTTCTGCKGACTCATCGTTCCCTTTGATTCCCTCTTTTTCATCAAGATCATCTTCATTTGTGTCGAGCTTGTCTGCATCGAGTCCCGCCTCTTTCAATAGCTTGAGAAGCTGTCCAAAAGCCTCTGATACATGCGAGAGTTCTGCACAGGTATTTTTGAGCCGATGGATCTCTACTTCTTGTCTCGATACAATGTCTTCCAGTCGTGAGATCCGTTTTTTRAATTCCTTCCTGAGTATTTTTATTTCCTCTCCTTGTTGGTTATTCCCGTCATTTCGTTCCTTGTCGTCAGGTTTCTCAGACGTATTATCATCGTTCTGGTTCATTCCAATCGGATACGTAATTTTTTTTTCTCTGCGGTATTTCCAGAAAGTGTCTGGTTTTTTTGTCGTCGACGACGACGTGATCAGCATGTGTTGCACATTTCGGCTAGCTAGGCTCTTCAGAGGAAATCCCGATGAAATGCTAGAAGAAAAATAAAATATTGCGATCACCGAAAGGTATTTCCAGCTTTTTATTCTGAATCTCCTCCGTGTTCTTCTATCTAGTCCTTTCCTGCAAAAACTTAGATAATGATGTCCATTGCACACTTCAATCGACTTTTTCTTTGAGTTGAGAGACTGATTGTCTTGGTTTCTATTCGAAAGCAGACATCTCTGTTGTTCCAGTGGCATGCGTGAATACCTCAGTGAATGCCCGTCACTATAGGATCGGCGACCGTCGTCTCCTCCTTCTAGAGTCATGCTTTCTTGCCTCGTTTCCATCATATCTGTATGACAATGCTTCGTGCGAAAATGAAAGGTTTCGGTGTCCACGTCGTATACTAGAGGTTTGTTAGTACGAACGCCGAGTCGAATCTGTAAGATTCAATGGGTCAAACAGAATTTATTGATTTAAATTGGGTTCAATTGGATTGGATTGGATTAAATTAGATTTGGCCTTATCCGAGATTGGATTCGACCGTTTCCAATCTCAAGCCTATTGCAATCAGAACCGCTTTTGACCTTGATATAACAGGTCTGGTCTCCCGATCTAGTAATTCACGCTTTCTGATCAAAAAGCAGAGAACCGAAGAGTAGGGTCAGTTAGATTGAATTTGGGTTCCTTAGTTTTTCCTTTTCGTGCACTGGTTTGTTGTTTGTCTGATTGGCTGATCGCGTTGATGTTTGTTGCTCTCGGATGTCTTATTGGGAACAGAAAGGGGCTAACGATAGATCGTACATCAACCTTACCTACGACGGTAATCTACGTACTTGTTCGTACTAGTAAGAAATGCAAGCATAATTTATCATACCGGTACATTGCGACAACTACGGTACATACGAATAAAGTACCTACGATGCTCCTACTACAAAAACAGAAAACAGGTACCGGGACGATCATCATTGACGATTTTACCACGTACCATTGCTACTAGACCCGTTACGGGAATGGAACTGGCAGGTGCTACTTAACACACAAAATGAAGCATTTGAATTAGTCCTGCGAACTGAATACAAAACTTGATACTAAGAGGGGGCTGGGAGAATTTAAAAAGAAATTATGGTAGCGCGGCTTATATTTTGGTAGCGTTTGTGGTAGCAAGATGGTAGCATTGATGGTAACAATCTGGTAGCAATCTGGTAGCAAGATGGTAGCAATTCTAGTCGGATTTTGGTAACTGGTAAAGAATACCGGATTGCTACCATAAATCCTACCAAATTCTGGTAACTGTTCCGGTAACGGTTGTGGTAAACACTTACTTCACATAAAAATTGAGCATAAATACAGCAATTTTTTGCTCCAGGACTGCTTTTTTAAACAACAATACTGTACGTTACTAGTAGGACTGCTTTCCAGGATTGGCTCATACGGCAGCAGCAGCAGCCACAAAAGCAGCAACAGTAACAGGAGCAACATCAAGCATGGTATAATAACAAGCAAGCAGTCCTCTGCCGGGGGTTGGGGTCCTTCGATGCCTCATAATTCACCAGCAGAGATGATGGCAAGAGCAGGATCATCATCGTCAAAGAAAGGGAAACGTCAGGAAGAGCAAAGCCGTAATCCAGAACCAGTATACCGGAGACTAGAACTCGCCAAGCAAATCGCTTGCTACAATTACTGGCTCTATTTGAATACAGCTGGATCAGAAGGCTGGGACCCGATTAACAAGCCTTCGTCTGTTTACAACTACAGAAGCTCAGCGTACATTCAACAGCACATCAAAGTATCAAGTTGGCCCAAAATTGGGAAGGTACTTTTGGAGTTGCGAGTTGGGAAGGAACAGTACTTCCGACGCTTGCTCACACCTTTATTTCTTTTAGAGTATGGCAACACTTGCCCAAGATCTACAGAATCGAGGAATCCGTCTTGTTGATCCATACAGAGAAGTAGAAGAGAAGCTTGCAGCAATCGCCAGAGCCAAGGAGGAGGAAGAGGAGGAGGAAACTGTTACTGAAGACGAATATTACTCGGAATCGGAAGAAGAAACACCAACCCCCACGATGCCATGCAGCAGCAAGAAGAGTCGACAACCAACACCAGGAGACGATGAGATGCTTTCCGAGCTTGCCGGAAGCATGTCAATCTCCAAGAAGAAGAGGAGTAAATGTACTGATAAGATTGATCTTCAGTGGATTTCTGGATCTCTCATGTATCCAGCTCTTTCCGGAAGATGGACAACCTTTGACCATCATACTGATGATATGGTTCACTATTCCTTGGTGAGACTGCTCACACACACAGGAGCAACGAAATCAGACTATGTCCTTCAATGGATCGATGAATATACCTTTCAGGTCAGATGCAAGTGGCCTGCGTTCATGAGACAGTGTATGACACAGGTTGATTTAGATATGACAACAACTAAAGAAGGATCTTATCCAACCTTTCCACGGGATCATGCACTGTGGACTAGCATGGGAATCGAAGCAATGGAACTCAAGGAACCTGACGGATGCATCTGGTCTGAGGGGAACCTTAAGTTCCAGAAGAGGATGGATACATCTGTCTATGTTGAAGAAGTTCTTGTTGCCCCGGTTCAAGTGGAGGGGGGACACAAAGCTGATGCTATGGTCCTTCAGATCATATTCAAGGAAAAACAGGATGAGGATCGTAAACCAGCTCCTTTCCAGTCTCCTATCAGCAGTAAGAGAGGAGGTATCAGGATGGGTAAGTCTCCCCCTGCTAGTACTTCCCGGACGCGTCCTCAATCTCCACCAGCCCCAGCAGCAGCTAGAGGGGGGGGACAGGAGGATGAGGAGGAGAACCGGAAGAAGAAGAAGACTAAAACAAGTTCAACTACTAATGAGACGCCTTTGCTGTTACCTTTGCCACCTTCTCCTCCCAAGTCTGATGGTGTTGATACCAACCTCACGAAACAAATGAAGGAGGCAAGCTCCTCTTTCCACTCGTTTGATTCCTCCATTGCTTCCTCTGGAAAAGACCCAATCAATGCATTCCATGATGCCAAGTCACACCTTGATGATATTGAGAAGTTTCTCAAAGAACAGTAGACCAAAGAACAGTAGATGTAGTAGCGCTTATTTCCATGGCGCAGAAATAAAGCATTAGTAACAGCATGCTTAAATGACCAATGGTTCTCTCTAACAAGACTGATGTAGCAGCAGTAGTTGCTGTAATGTACTAGAGCAATCCTTCAAAGACCAGCTTCATAGCTGGCATGCTTGCTCTTGGGACTCCCAACATGACGTGCGTTTCAAGGAGCAGTTTCAAGCAGCAGTAGTAACTGCTCGTAGTAGTAGTAGTAGTAGTAGTAGTAGTAGTAGTAGTAGTAGTAGTAGTAGTAGTAGTAGTAGTAGTAGTAGTAGTAGTAGTAGTAGTAGTAGTAG